TCTCTGTCTGGCAAGCGCACGCGCCCTATAGCGAAAACCTCTCCAAAATAATAATAATAATAATAATAATAAAAAGTAAAGTTAATAAAATAATTCTTTAAAAAAAAAAAAAAAGGCAAGCCACCAAGTCTGCAACTTGAACTGCAGTCAGCAATGTAAAAATCCAGTGCCTTAACTACCACGTCACCTACTGGCCCCAACATCTTTAATTTTGAAGTCTAGATTATGTATATTTTCTTTCATTACTTACAGTTTTGGTGTCACATCTAAGAAACCATGATCTACCTAATCCTAGATCATGAAGTTTTTTTGCTCTTGTTTTTTAGTTTGCTATAGGGTGCATGTGTTTGCCTGGGGGAGAGAGAGGGAGAAAGAAATCACCCACCAGGAAGGATGGCCGTGCCATAGTTTCTTGTCCTCCTTTGTCCTCTAGGAAGTTTGAGCACATACACACACGCCTGGTGTGTTTTTCAAGGCACTGGGTCTAGGACTGGAACCACCCAATTGGCCATGTGGATCTATCTGCTAGCCCAATCATAAAGGTTTTTTTCCTAAGAGTTTTATAATTGTAGCTCTTACATTTATGTTTTTGATCCATTTTTAGTTAAATTTTTTGTGTGCTGGAGATTTGAGTTATTTACATTTTTTTTCTTATTCTTTTCCCTGGACTAAATATATTGTTATTACTTTTTCTTACTGAGACAATGATGTATTCAGTGAAAAGGTGGCCTCTACACTGGCGGCAGGTATGGTTTTTAGAGAGGAGTGTAGAAAGGAAAAGTAATGTACTAAAATACATGGCAAAGTTACATTACAATTAGTTCCAAAATAGCCTGTCTCCATTTCATTGAATGTGAGTTTAAATCTCATCATTTCAAGAATTGAATAGGATGCCTGGGGCTGTTGTAGAACCTAGCGTTATGGATCATAGTAGTTGTAACTGCTGGGCAGATATGACAGGCTACTTGGTTTTCTCCTCAGGGGTCTCTCTTTTTGGCTTGTCGGCTCTGGTGCTCCCTGGGAACTTTGAGTCTTATTTGGAACTCGTGAAGTCCTTGTATCTGGGCCCAGCACTGATCTACACAGCTAAATTTGCACTCGTCTTCCCTCTCATGTACCACACTTGGAATGGGATTCGGCACTTGGTAAGTCCATTGTGGCTTTGCACATTTCTGGGTAAAGGGAATGGGGGAGCTGGGAGTGTCCTTTCCTTCACTGCTGGTTTAGTGCTGTTCCTAAGGTTAGTTATGCTGGACCTTTCCTAGGGGAATGCCAAATAAGACCTCCCTGGTATAGCCGGGCAGGAGATATAGGCCGGGCAGATACTTGCACAGTCTTGGCATGAACTCTTCAGTTTTAAGAGGGATATTATTATTCATGTTTTTGAGGAATTTTTGCTGTAGGGTAGGTGTGCTCACCAGAGAGGGAGCGAGAAAGAGATAAATCAGCCCCCAAGGGTGATGGCCACGTTGCAATCCCTTTTCCATTCTCCTTTCAGGATTTTGGGCTCACATGCACATGTGCCAAATGTGAGTTTTAAGCCACCAGGTCTGGCACTTAAACCATGGTTGGCCACGTGGGAATCTAGCACCTTAACCACTTGCTGGCCCCAGGGGATATTAGTAACAGAGACCCTTGAGACCAGGTCATATGTCTGGCATAGAAGGTATATTAGGTAAGTATCAGTTGGTACTTGTTATGTGTCAGGCACTGTTCTAGAGGCTGGGGATTAAATTATGAGCTAGATAGGGACCAGCAGTTGGCATAGTGGCTATGTCGCTAGACTCCCATGTAGTCAGCCACGGTTCAAGTCCCAGACCTGATGGCTTAAACTCACGCTGGGCACATCTGCATGTGTGCCCAAGATCCTGAGAAGAGAATGGAGGAGAAGGGATTGTGGCGTGGGATTGGGGGTGATTTCTCACTTTTTGTCTCTGTCTCTCTGTCTTTCAGGCGAGCACATGCATGCTATAGCAAAAACCTCTCCAAGAAAAAAATTATGAGCTAGATGAACATGGTTTCTACTTTCAGTTTAGCATTCCGGTCATTCCAGAATGACAAATCTAGCTGAATTCAAATATATTTAATGTATTATATATATTGTTTTGTTATTAGGTTACGTTAAATAACTTTTTGTGTTTGTTTTGAACTATTGAAGAAAATGGGATCAATTTTATTAGAAACTGGGTGCCAAGGATCCTGGGTTTTAATATTGGAATTAGGGGGCTGGCAGGTGGTGTGGTGGTTAAGAGTGCTGAATCCCACATGGCCAACCATGGTTTGAGTCCCAAACCTGGTAGCTTACTTTCTCTCTCTCTCTTACTTTGTCCCTCTCTAGTCAAATGTAAAAATAAAGTTAAATAAAATCATTCTTTAAAAACACACACACACATAAATATATATGGATTTTATTTTATTTTTTTAGATTGTTATAGGGTATGTGTGCTCACTGGAGAGAGAGAGAGAAACCACTCCCCCCCCGGGGGGGGGTGGATGGCCACACCACAGTTCCTTTTCCTCCATTCTCTTCTTGAGTTTGGGAGGGCAAGCACCCCAGTGTGTGTGTGTTCTTTGTTTTGATTTTTTTTTTTTTTTTTTTTGGTCATAAGCACATGCACTCACCAGAGAGAGGGAAAATTAGAAATCACCCCCCAGAGAAGATGTCCCATACTGCAGTCCCTTCTCCTTCAGTCTCCTCCTGGGATTTGTGGCATGCACATACACGTGCCCATTGATTTTCAAGCCACCATGTGAAGGACTTGAACCATGCAGTTGACTTATAGGAGTCTAGCTGCTTCAACCTCCACACTATCTGCTGGCCTGGGTGTAGGAATCTGTTTTGAAAGATTTTTGCTATAGTGTGTGCACTCATCAGGGAGACAGAACGAGGGAGAAAAAAAAGTAGGAAATCACTTCCCCGTGGGGATGGCCATGCCCTTTTCCTCTGTTCTCCTCCTGGTATTTTGGGCATGCACCCACACACATCCTGCATGAGTTTTAAGCCACCAAGTCCAGAACTTGAACCACAGTCGGCCATATCCAGCATCATAACCACCATGCCACCTGCTGGCCTCAGATTTAGGAATCTTTTAAAGAACTTAAAACTGTTTCTGGGGTCAGCCCATGGCCTGGTGGGTAAGGTGACTGGATCCCACATGGCCAATGGAGCAGTTGGAGTTCCAGACCTGTTGGCTTGAGGAACATGCCAAATACACGTGCATGACAGTTCCACATGGGGGAGTGTTTTCTCACTTTCCTTCTGTTTCTCTTTCCAGCAAGCACATATTTCTTCTGACAAAATTTTAATAACAAAACACTATTCCTATTGCCTCCTACATGATGTTGGGATTGGTTCAAAATTGGTGTCTCTTTACTCTTTATAAAAGAATTTAACCTTAATCAAACCTGCTATGTGGTCAGAGATCAGTCCCTCTAGTGTTTTAAGATTTCATATATTTTTTTTTAGATTTATTCTATTTTATTTATCATTATTATTTTTTAATTTGTTACAGATCACATGTGATCACCAGAGAGAGAGAGAGTGAGTGAGTGTGAAGGCAAGCCACCAGGCTCAGGACTCAAACTGTTGTCAGCCATGTGGGAGGGAGTCTAGCACCTTAACTACCATGCCACCTGCTGGCCCCAAGATTTCATGTTTTTTGATCTTCCTATCCTTATTCTTGCTTCATTCCCCCTGAATTCCATCCTTTTTGGTTTTCCATTACTTTGGAACTGAGCCAACTATCAGGGGGATGTTTTTGCCTTAATTTGACCTTTTATAAGTTACATATCAGAGCCTTAGAGATAAGCTCTTTCTGGGTTTCAGTCTGGTCCAATAGACAGTTTAATGGAATCAAAAAGCGAAAGACTAAATGACCTATTAAATTAAGTGTATCTATCAACTGTTCCCTGGGGCAGTGTTCAGTTTGATTTAAAATGACTTTTCACTTTCTTTCCTGAAGGGGGGGTTGGGCAGAGAGCGCCTTTCCGTTAATGACTTCTTATTCCACAGAACAAAGCTTGCTAAAGAAAATCAGCTGATTAGCTTCCTCTGTTCCATCCTGGCTCAGGCAGAGACTTGCCATATATTTGCTTTTGTCTCAGTGTCTGGGGGAGGGGCAAGGGAGTGGAAGAGGTTTTACACAAATCCCAGAACTGTCAGGCTTTTCTGCCCTGATTCCTGCCTGTGATGGTAATCTCTTTGTTGAGAGAAGTGAGGAGCCCAAAGGCTTTTCTTAAACCCCTAAATCTGCTTTTATTTTTTCTTCTAGTAAGTACTGGCTCTGTGTGGGTCAGGATTTTATCTGTTTCCTGTGACAGTTGGTAGTGTTTGGCCTCTGAGCTTGATAATTGCCTTGTCCAAAGGTCTCCTGGGAGAGTAGAGTGGGGTTTGTGTGTAAGAATAAGAAGTCACAGGGCCTGTGGCGTTCTAGAGCATACCCTTCCTAGAGCTACCACCAGCCTGTGGGGCTTGACTTTTTGTAAAACCCTGTGCCTGTATAAGCCAAATACCTCTTTGTAGAATCTGCTTAACTGCTAATCTGATCTAGTTAGAAGGTATTTGGGAGTTGAGGTGGGGCATCTTCTCATCTTGATTTTTTTCCTGGGATCACCAGCTTTTCTCTGAAGTAACTCCTAATTTAGTCAGTTGTACGTTCAGACTGGGTGTATGTGTATATGCATGTGTTGAGGCAGCCATGTGTGTGGAAAGTGTAAGTAAACACTTGACTTTTGCCCTAGGGACTCTATTAATGGGTTAGAGTATAATATGTTCATATCCCTAGGGCACAGAAGTCTTTTTTTTTTTTTTTTTTTTTTTTTTTTAATTTTACTACAGAATTCCTGTGCTTTCTGGAGAGAGACAGAGAAACTGAGAGGGAAGGTGGGAAAGCATCCTCAGGAGGCATAGCCAGGAAGCAATCCCTTCTCCTCTCAGGTTTTCGGACACAAATGCACATGCGCCCAGTTTATTTGTCAAACCACCAGGTACAGGTCTTGAACCGCACAGTTGGCCATGTGGGATCTAGCTACTTTAACCACCACATCACTAGCTGGGCCAGATTAATTTTTTTTAATGTGTATTTTGACATATTGAGTAGAAAATCAGTTTTGTGGGTTGCTACCAAAAAAAAAAAAATTTAAATAAGATAGAAAGTATAGAAGGGCGCACATATTAGCAGTAGTAAATGCGGCACTGGTTCGTGAACTCCCACTATTATAACCCCCACAGTTAATAGCAGTAGTCCTTCCTTGTCTGTGGTTTCTGTAACACAGTCAACTGAGGTTTGAAATAGGTAAGTTCTGTAAAATATTTTGAGAGAGATAGGACCAACACATGATGTAGTGCTGGACTCCCATGTAGTCAACTGTTTTTCAAGTCCTGAACTTGGCGGCTTCAAACTCACACCAGCTATGTGTGTGTGCATAACCAAAATCCTGAGAGAGGAGAATGGAGGAGTACAGATTGTGGTGTGGCCAGCCCCCCGGGGAGTGATTTCTCGCTTTCTGTCTCTCTGGCAAGCAGATGGGCCTGATAGCAAAAAATCACTCAAAGAAAAAGAAACCTTACAGTTAAATGTTTACTAAATGTGGGACCAACAGTTGGCATACAGGCTATGTCACTGGACTCCCACGTAGTCGACCGTGGTTCAAGTCCCCGACCCAGCGGCTTAAACTCACACCGGGCATATGTGCGTGCGTGCCCAAGATCCTGAGAGGAGAATGGAGGAGAAGGGATTGCAGCGTGGCCATCACCCCTGGGGGGTGATTTCTCACTTTCTGTGTCTTTCTGTCTTTTGTGCCCTATAACAAAAGCCTCTCAAAAAATGTTTACCAAATGTATCCATTCTAGAACCTTTCCCCCATATAATGCCTTCCAGCATACTGAGGAGGTAGTTTTTGGAGAATACAACTTTGGAGAACATTGAACTCGGTGTATTGTCAGAAAAGTTCCATGTTGAGTCTGTGGCATTCCAGAGAACATCCCCCTGCTATCACCACACAGTAGGACTGGATTTTCTGTCACTGAAATAACAGGGGGTAGGTACAGCCATATTGTGGATTTTGAGAAGGGTGAATGGGGGGCACAAGACTAGTGCTTTTCTCCAGAATCATGCTGAGGGGAGGTACCTATTTTACCAGGTTGAACTCTCTTCTAAGAAAAAAGAGCTGTGGGAATGACCAGGGTACTGAAATTTCTTTTTTTTTTTCTTTTCTGCAGATGTGGGACCTAGGAAAAGGCCTGAAGATTCCTCAGCTGTACCAGTCTGGAGTGGTCGTCTTGGTTCTTACTGTGTTATCCTCTGTGGGGCTGGCAGCCATGTGAAGAGCTGAAGTTCCCAGCATCATCTGTCTGCAAATTATTGCATTGACCCACCTTCCTGTTTGTCATGCTCCTCTCCAGCCAGGGCAGAATTCTCTTGATTGTCTAGATCCTTTTAGGCTTGCAGTCCCCCTGGAGCTCAGTAGGTATAGAGTACCCTGCAGAACTGCCATAATAGAAGAGGATCCAAATTTCCCCTTGTTTCTAAAGATGAGGTGGCTGCAAAAAAACCTCCCTTTTCCTGCCCACAGCTTGCAGCCTACTCTGGGCTTGGGAGCCCTTATTCTCTCTCCATATTGGGCCTTGATTTGTGCTGAGAGTCAGCTTTTGGCTCCTTCCTGAGACAGTGGAAACAATGCCAGCTCTGTGGCCTCTGCCCTGGGGACTGGGGGTGAGGATCTGGGTGCCACTGCCTGTGGGTTGCTGACTTAAAGGACAGTTCTGTTCATTGGTCAGTGCCCAGGGCCTTTAGCACCCACACAGTGTGACTGTAAAAGGAGAGTTGGGGGTGGAGGGAATTAGCCTGTTCCAGCTAGAGGGAGATAAAGAGGGTGAGTCAGTTCTTGGAGCAGGTGCTTTGGTGAGGAGCTATCTAGCTTTTGACACAAGAGGAAGATCCAGAAAATAATCATTGAATATGTGAAGTGTTATTTTTCCTGCATTTCTGGGAAAACAAATCTTAATGTCTTGTTTTCTAATCCAAGTTCATGTACCATTTCTGAAACTGAATTAAAATACTCATTTTATCTTTGTGTCTCCTTGAAATCTAGAGAAAGCAAGAGAATGCTATTGGGAAGAAGCCAGTTTCCTCCCCCTGCCTCGGGTCTCAGGCATTTACATCCCCCAATCTGACCTTTCCCAGGGAAACAGTTTGTCCTACAACTGACCACTAGAGAGAAGTTTTCAGGGAATCAAATGCAAGTGGCCAGAGATGCAAATATCAGAGGAGAAAGAGGAAGGAATATGTTGAGAGCTTTTAGACAGTTATGGGCTCCGGAATTCCACCGAGGACTAATTCTAAGCCTCTTTATATGGTTTAGCAAATTATGATCCAGTGAGGGATGCATATACCTAAGGAGGTGGATTTAGGAAAGAAAGGAGAGCAGAGATGTAAAAGGGAGGAGTTGTCTTGGCCCAGTGGTGGTCCACACAGTGGTAACACTACTGGCCCCACGTGAGGAAGGCTCTGGGTTTGCATCCAAGAACCCTGAAGCATATTGGGCTTGTTTGTGCCCATAATCTGGGCTAGCTAAGGCTTGGGGTGGATCACTGCATGCAGACCAGGTTGAAGGTGTCTGTCTTTCTGTCTCATGGAAGAAATAAAAGATGATTGAAAACCTGGCAAAACTATAAAATTTCATGAGAACTTGCTGCTTTTATAATTCACATGGGCTCTGGGTCACTAAATCCCTTGGTGGGAATGCTGTTTTGATAGTCTTTGGATCTCTGAGGTAAGAGGTCTGTCTTGTCTGTCACGCTGAGTTGTTGACCAGCTACTTAACGCCATGGGTTGAAGAGAAGCGGCAGTGACTAGCTGGTGTCAGTTGGACAGGCCGACCTTACTTAAGCCAGCAGAGTAGGACCTGCTACCTCAGTAGTGTTCAGCACAGATCCCACTAGCCTTCGGCCCTAAGTCATGATCATGTCTCCCTTTTTGTTAGACTGGCCCTAGAAAGTCCTTGTAGCCTTCCTTCAGCTTAAACCACCTGTCTGCTACTTTGCCCTTGGAGTGAGGAACAGCTGTTCCCGAGGGAACACTTTGGCACTGGGACTAGGAAAAGTTTGGCAAGGACATCATATTTTAACAGCCAGCGCCAGGAAGATGCAGAATGGGGTCAGTGATAAACAGGTGTGGGAGGCCGGAAAATGGATGGGGGACTGCGGCTTCTCAGCATTCAGGAGACTGATTGGGAAGGAGTGTGGGGTGGTGGCAGAACATCATGTATGTTATCCTGCTCTCAGTTTCTACTCACCTTCTCATTTTCATTCTTTGTAGTTGCCTACATATCTTCACTTCAAACTTTTTTTTTTTTTTTTTTTTTGAGAGATTTTTGCAATAGGGTGCGTACGCTCACCAGAAAAACAGAGACAGAGGGATAGAAAGTGAGAAATCACCCCCCAGGGGGGATGGCCACGGCCGCAGTCCCTTCTCCACTCGACTCTCGGGATCTTGGGCACACACACACACACACACACACACACGCCCAGCGTGAGTTTTAAGTCACCGGGTCCGGGACGCAAACCGCGGTCAACTACATGGGAGTCCAGTGACATAGCCATTATGCTAACTGCTGGTCCCCATGTGTTTGTTTATTTTTAAGAGAGATTTTTGCTATAGGGCACATGGGCTCACTGGAGAGACAGGAGAAAGTGAGAAATTATCCCCTGGGAGGATGACCATACTGTAATCCCTTCTCTTCCATTCTCCTCTGGGATCTTGGGCACACATACATGGGCGCTCAGTGTGAGTTTCAAGCCACTGGGTCTGGGACTCGAACCACGGTCGACTACGTGGTTACCGGTGATGTAACCATTATGCCATCCGCTGGTCACAACAGTTCTGATTTTTGAAGTCATTAGTTCTACATGTTCAGGATGAAAAATGTGGGGTAGGAGCCAGCAGGTGATGTGAAGATTAAGGGACTGGACTCCCACATGACCAACCATTGTTCAAGTCCTGGACCCAGAGTCTTGAAACACTCTGGGTGCATGTGTGTGTGTGCCCAAAATCCTGAGAGGAGAATGAAGGAGAAGGGATTGTGGCAAGGCCATCCTCCCTTGGGGGTGATCTCTCACTCTTGTTTCTCTGGCAAGTGCATGTGCCCTACTGCAAAAACCTAAAAAAAAAAAAAAGGAAAAGAAGGGTAAGAGTAAAGGGCTGGTTCTTGGAAGTTCTGCCCTCTGCTATGATTAAGACCAGCTTTTTCTTGGTCATTTCTAGAGTATAACTGTAGAAATACATTCTACCCCAAACCACTGTCAAGTTCTTTTCCCTGCTCTACTTCCTTCAGCCTTCCTAGTTATGGATTATAAGGAGCAGATGGGACCAGCAGATGGTGTACATCCCTGGACTCCCACATAGCCTACCGTAGTGTCTTGGACCCAGCCAGACGCGTGTGCATGCGTGCCCAAAATCTCGAGAGGAGAATGGAGGAAAAGGGATTGTGGTGTGGCCATCACCCCTGAGGGGACGATTTCTCACTTTCTGTTTTTCTGGTGAGCACACATGCCCTATAGCTAAAAAGCTCTCAAATAAATAATAAGGCAACCATTGGGATAAGAGATCAGTAAAAGATTCAAAAACAATGTTTATTTTTCAAATTTGCCTTTAGTCACAACCCCACAATTTCCCTGTTCCGTATTCCCAACAGGGGATGCCAGGGGGGCGGGGCCTTACTTCACTCAATCTCTAGGTAGGTTTTCTCTGTGTGGTGCCTGGGCCCCTTCTGAAGTTGCGGGTTTGCCTTTCTGGACCTCAGACACATTATGACCCTGCCCGTGTTCTGACACACATGGGCTTCCCAGTGGGGTCTTAGGACAGTTGACTGGGCTTTGGGGACCTGGAGTGTGACCTGCAGAGGGGTGTGGGCTTTGGAGTTGATCTGGAGAATTGAGGTTGGCAGCTGGGGGACTTGGAATAATGGTCGGACTTGATGCTTGTTGTACAGTCTTCGTGGTAGACTTCCTCCCGAGTTTCTGCTGACAGGTAGGATCATGGGGCTGTCGGGTAGGGTGGAAGAGACAGTCGTGCTTCTGGTCAGGCCCACTTCATCCCCAGCTCCCCTAAATGCTAACTCCCATCCTCTCCATACTGTGGGCAAAAGATCTAGTTTCAAGTAAGAGTTGGTTTGCCTAACTTGTTCTTGAGATTAGGTCTTTTTTTTTTTTTTTCTTTTTAAGAGATTTTTGCCCTTACCAGAGAGACAAAGTGAGAAATCCACCCCCCTCCCCAGGGAGGATGGCCACACCTCAATCTCTTCTCCATTCTCCTCTTGGGATTTTGGGCACGCACACATACGCGCCTGGCGTGTTAAACTGCTGGGTCCAGGTCTTGAACTGCTATTGACCATATGGGAGCCCAGCGATGTAAGCATCATGCCCTCTGCTGGTTTCGAGATTAGGTCATTTTCTACTGAATAGGTAAGATACCCTTAGCTCAGCCCTTCAGGTCTCAGAGGTGGTGACAAAGAGAAGACAATGGGTCTGAGGTTCCTCCTGCTGGCATAGAGTTGGTGTAACAACAGGTTTTTTTGTTTGTGTTTTTGTGTTTTGTTTTTTTTTTCTGAGGTTGTAAAGAAATGGAGACATTAGGGTTTGGGGTGCAATGGAGAGGACAGATACCTTGCCTAAGATTTCAGGCCGCAGCCCATTGGAGGCCTTGAGTAAATCGGGGTTTTTCTGTATCCACTTGGTGAGGGAGGCGGCACCAGCAGCTGTACGGGAGGTCAGGGTCACCCGGGCAGGGGGTATCCTCAAAGGCATTTGCCAGGTACCCATGAAGGAACCCCAAGGATTTGCCTAGAAGGAAAAGATTCTTCAATAGGTCTCACTCCCGGGAAGGCAGGAGCTCTGTTTGCCTATTTCCATTCTTTAGCTTTGGGAAGTCATGGTTCCAAAGGCATCAGACCCCAGCCCTCCCTCGGCCCTTTTCCCCTCCCACACAGGGTTTTTTTCATCTGTGGCAGCTTAAACTCTGCATCTTTAGGCTAAGTGAGGCAAAGGCATACCCACCACATAAATGCCACCCAGAAGCGTTCAGTTATATCACCTGTTCGTTAGTTTCAGGACTTCTGGGTGCTAAACAACACTCTGCCCTGTCGAGTAAGCTGCAGTTCAGGGGCACTCGCATTATAATAGGAAAGGTTGACTTTGAAGTTCCAGATAGTGGCTGTGGGAGTTGCAGTCTCCCAGTTCTGTGGCTCAGTTCTTTACCTTTCTCACCAGGAATGGAGGCGGGTGTCTCACCTTGGAGCGGGGCACTGAAGGCAACAGGTGACCACGGTCATTGGCAATAATCTGAGTGTAGCCTTCATGGGAAGGGATCCTCTGCGGAGGTGGAAGAGAAGTGCTTGTGAGTGACAGAGGGAGGAAGCACCTGAAGAGTTAAGGATGTAAGGAGAGGAGGAAAAGGGAGTTCAGAGAAGGCTGAGAGGAGTCAGGAGACGGGGATTCACACCATGATGTGAAGGACCAGGAACGCCTTGTGGATGTGCCAAACCTGGCTTACCTCTTTCGTGGGCTTGGCGGGAGACCAGTTCCGCAGATACTTGGGTGAGAAAGCTTTCTCGTACTGTGGAGAGAAGGCAAGACTCAGGAACAGAGGCCCCATGCCCAGGACATAGAGACTAGCACCTTCCTTCTTGGAGACCAGAGGCCTGAATACCCTGGGCACTTGAGCTCCCTCTAACCAGGGAGGGGTTTGTGGGTGTGGTCTAGATGTGTGTTGTCACCAGGGAGCTGGTAGCCACGCATAGCTGCAAAAAGCACTTGAAATGGGACTAGCTCAAATTGAGGCACTTTATAAGTATGAAATACCTTGAATTTCGAAGACTTAGTACCAAAAAAATATGTAAAATATATGATTATGATTTCTAAAATACTGATTAAATATTGAAATAATATTCTAGATTTATTGGGATAAATATATCTGATTTACTCACATTATTTAATTAATAGTATTTAAGGCAGACATATCCCACATTGGCCAACCACGTAATTTGAATCCTGGACCTGGTGTCTTGAGAAACACGCTGGGTACATGTGTGTACGTGCCCAAAATCCTGAAGAAAGCTGGAGAAGAAGGGATTGCAGCATGACCTGTTCCATGGGGGCTACTTTCTTCTCTCCTCTTTCTCTCTGGCAAGTGCACATTCTAGTTAAGTTTTTTAATTTTTTTTTAGGGAGATTTTTGCTATAGGGCTTGTGGACTTGCTGGAGAGACATTGACAGAAAACAAGAAATCACCACGTTGCGATCCCTTCTCCTCCATTGTCTTCTCAGATTCGGGGCACACACGCATACACGCCTGGAGTGAGTTGTAAGCTGCTGAGTCTGAGACTTGAATACAGCCTACTACATGGCAGTCCAGTGATATAACCATTATGCCATCTGCTGGTCCCCAATTTTTTTAATGTGGCTACTAAAAAATTTAAGAATTTTGGGAGCCAGTAGGTGGCATGGTAGTTAAGGCACTGGACTCCCACGTGAGACCTGGTCGAGTCCTGGACCTGGCAGTTTGCTTTCTCTTTTTCTCTCTGGTAAGCACACATGCTCTATAGCAAATTAAGTAATTACAATATTAAAATTAGATCTTTTTTTTTTAAATTACATTTGTGGCTCATACTCCTTTTACTGAACAGCACCAATGTAGACCAGGATTGGCAAACTATGCCCTGGGCCAAATTCATATTGTTTTTGAATAGCCCAAGATCTAAGAACAGGTTTTATCGATGAACATTTGTTGTGGATTTGTTAAAAGGAAATGCTAATTGAATCCCAATTAAGCAAAATATTTTCTCACCCCCCAAAAAAAATTCCACTGTGTTTATTAGTATTACAGAAAACCACTCAGATATAGGATTTTTAAATTTGTCAAAAGTTTTATGAGAAAGTGTTTTCTTTTTTGGAATTATCTTTTATTTAACTTTATTTATTTATTTAGACCAGAGAGTAACAGTGGGAGAGAGGGCAAGTGAGAAAGCAAGCTACCAGGTATAGAACTTGAACCATAGTTGACTGTATGGGAGTCCAGTGCCCTTAACCACCACACCACCTGCCAGGCCCAGTGTTTTTATTCATTATCTAAGTTCCTACATTTTTTTTAAATTTAGAATTGTTTTTGCTACAGGGTGTGTGTGCTTGCCACAAAGACAGAGACGGATGGCTACACTGCAATCCCTTCTCCAGTCTTCTCTCGGGATCTTGGGCACACACGCACGAGTTTAACCCATCGGGTCCGGGACTTGAACTGCGGCCAACTAAATGGAAGTCCAGCAATATGGCCATTACACCAACTGCTAGTCCCATATTTTTGTCTTTTTTAAAAAGAATTATTTTATTTAATATTTATTTATTTAAGTTTGATCAGAGAAGGACAGAGAGAGAAAGGGGGAAAGCGAGAAAGCAAGCCACCAGGTCTGGGACTTGAACTGCAGTTGACCATGTAGGAATCCAGTGCTCTTACCCCCCCCCCCCCACTGCCAAACTTTTTTTTTTTTTTAAGAGAGATTTTTTCTATAGTGTGCACTTGCTGAAGAGACAGAGACAAAGAGACTGAAAGTGAGAAATTACCCCCTGCGGGGATGGCCATGCTGCATTCCCTTCTCCATTCTCCTCTTGGGATTTTGGGCACGCGCACACGTGTCCAGCATGAGTTTTAAGCTACTGGGTCTGATACTCGAACCATGGTCAACTACATGGGAGTCCAGTGACATAACTTTATATCATCTGCTGGTCCCTATTGTCTTTTAATTTGCTCAATGGAGAAAGAAAGAGATGTAGAGAAAGTGTCTCCCAAGGGCCTGGGGTTGGAGTAGATAGGCCATGCCATAATCCCTTTTCTATTTGCCACTGGCCTGCAGAACTGAAATATTTATTCTCTGGCCCATTACAGAAAATATTGGATCATCAGGGAAGTCATCACACATTTTTGGACAGAAAAGGACTAAAATATGTCATGACTTTCCAGGACAGCCTAATAAATTGCTGACCTGAGGTTTTTTACCCTACAAATGTAACCTAGAGGTACATTTTATTTTTCCCTGAGCCCTCTCTTCTCTAGGAGATGAAATACAAGGGATCTTAAAAATGTTCATGGAAGGGACAGCCGGTGGTATAGTGGTTAAAGGTGCTGGGTTACCACGTGGCCAACTGGTTCAAGTCCTGGACCTGGCGGCTTACTTTCTTGCTTTCCCTTTCTCTCTCTGTGTCTCGCTCTGGTCAAATTAAAAAGAAATAATAACAAGGGAACCAGCAGTTAGCGTAATGGCCATGTCACTGGACTCCCACGTAGTCGACCACGGCTCGTGTCCCGGACCCGGTGGCTTAAAACTCACGCCGGGCGCGTGTGCGTGCGTGCCCAAGATCCCGAGAGGAGAAGGGAGGAGAAGGGATTGCGGCGTGGCCATCCCCCCGGGGGGGGTGATTTCTCGCTTTCTGTCTCTCTATCTCTCTCTCTCTGTCTGGCGAGCACACGCGCCCTATAGCAAAAACCTCTCCAAAAAAAAGAAAAGAAAAGAAATAATAACAAATGGAATTAAATGAATAAATAATTTTAAATGCCCATGGAAGATGTATATTATGAAAAAACTACATGTGGATCTCTCAATATTTCTTGTACCAAAGCAAACCCATACTCTACTCTTTTTCCATGAAATTTTTGAAGTCCCCTTGTCCTGTATCATCCCTCTCTCAGCTATCTGCTCGCAGATCAGAATCCTACGGGAGAAGTCAATCTAAAGATAGAATCTGGAAGGGGAAATGTAATGTGAAAGTCGTGGAGAAAGAAAACGTACCTGGTTGGCACTGTAGTTAGTGGCCATGATCCTGTGCTGTTGACACTTGTTGCCTGGCAACTGCAGAAGGCAGCCCTTCCACATGACCTCCCAACCAGGGAAGGCTGTGTTTCTCTTCTACCAGTTACTCACTTCCCTGGCTCACACTGCCCCTCCTTTCTCTCTGAAGCTCTGGATCCTTTTCATTTTAGAGGGGGAAGGGACTAAGTAAACACGAGAAAGCTAGGTGAGTAGCAACCCTCTCTCTCTCTCTCTCTCTCTCTCTCTCTATTTTTTCCTTCCTAGCATGACTTCTCTGTTTAAGAACTTGCAGGTTTTGGGGCCAGCAGGTGGTGTGATGGTTAAGGGTCCTGGACTCCCTCATAGCTGACTGAAGTTCGAGTCCCGGACCCAGTAGCTCACTTTCACTCTGGTCAAATTTAAATAAAAATTAATTAATTAAATAAACAAAGCTCAATAAAATAATTTTTTTTTTTTTTTTTAAAAAAAGGACTGTTGTCTTTGCCCAGGGTCTTTAACCACTTCATAAACCACGGAACCCTAAGAGCTGCGTTCCTTGGTGTGTTCGTTGGGCAGTGTGGTATGTCATCACCCAGATACTGAACATCGAGGTCCCGGTCAGCAGGGGATGTAGAAGCTCTCTGACCGTTAAGCACCTGGCTTCACACAGTTTCTGTTGACTGGGTTGTGGAGACACTAGAGCCTGCCCTTACAGGGGAAGTGAAACAAAGTGAATAAAGCATCTGGAGAAGGTCACAGCACCACTGAGATCTTGTTTACAAGGCCCACGACTATTTTCTCAAGAATAGTGAAGGAACAATGTTTAAAAGATGACTTGCACAGGGCCAGAGGTGGCATGGTGATGGGGGCACTGGACTCGCACATGGCCAACTGTGGTTCGAGTGTCGGACTTGATGGCTTGCTTCCCCACTTCCTTTTTTTTCTCTGTCTCTGTCCCTCTCATGAGTTGATGTGTCCTATAGCAAATAGAATAGTAATAAGATTAAATAAATAATTCTTTTTTTTTTTTAAGTGACTGGCTCAAGTCTGTCTCCAGGTGGAAAAATATTGCTTGTTCTTGGCCCTTAAATGACTCCCATCTGCTCCACCACACTAGAATCATGGAGCCTGAGAACACAGGAGCTTCATGTTGGCTGGGAAGAGGTAGAGTCAGGAGCGAGTGCACAGAAGCGGGAAGGACTGATGAGAGACAGAGCCAGGAAAGCACCAGGTGCCGAGGCTGGAGTGGTGATGCCAGGACAGAAGGCAGACTTGTGGGACTAGACAACCCCTCTGAGCCATCTGAAACGGTACAGTACCCATCTGTTGGTTGTTGGGAGAGTTCATGAGAAAGTGGAACTGTGCTTTGTGGATTGTAAAGTCTGTTCAATACTAGGGGGCTTCAAAAAGCTTTGTGAAAGTTAGAATTAACGTACAAGTTTATCTTGGTGCATTTTTTTCTAAAATCCCTGCAAGGATTTTTCTTTTCTTTTTGATAATTTGCTATAGGGTGCATGCCCTTGTTGGAGAGAAACAAAGAAGGAGGGAGAGATGGAAATTGAGAAAGCACCTTCCTCAGGGGAGCTGGCCACACCGCAATCCTTTTTCTTCTGTGGATTTTGGGCATGCACAGGCAAGCTGCCAGGTTCGGGACTCAAACTGCACAATTGGCAGTGTGGGATCCAGCAATCTTAACCACACACCACTGGCTGGCCCAGGGTTTTTCATAATGCACATTTTCCATGGGATTTTTTGAAGACTCCTCATATAAGATATCAAGATGAAAGGGGAATAAAATTAAGAAAGAAGTTGTCCAGGGGCTGGCAGGTGGCATGGTGGTTAAGACACTGGATTCCCACATGGCCAACCACAGTTTGAGTCTTGGACATGGTGGCTTGAAAAATCATACCAGGTGCTTCTGCATGCATGCCCCAAATCCTGAGGAGAATGGAAGAGAGGGGATTGTGGTGTGACCATAACCCCCTCCAGGGGATTTCTGGCTTTCTCTACCACTATCTCTCTCTGTCTCTGGCAAGAGCATGCACCCTGAGACCAGCAGTTGGTGAAATGGCTGGACTCGTATGTAGTCAACCACGGTTCAAGTCCTGGACCTTGTGGCTTAAACTCATGCCGGGCACATGTGTGTGCATGCCCAAGATCCCAAGAGGAGAATGTAGGAGAAGGGATTGCGGCGTGACCATCCCCCCAGGGGGTGATTTCTCACTTTCTGTCTCTCTGTCTCTCTGTCTGTCTGGTGAGCGCACGCACCCTATAGCGAAAATCTCTCCAAAAAAAAAAAAAAAAAAAAAAAGAAGAGGGAGTAATTTCTTATAAAGTTATAGGAGTACTTAACAGATTCCTCAGGTAGGAAGTGTTGTTTGGGCCTCAAAGGATACTAGAGAGCCAACTGGTAGAATGGTGGGGGGCGGGGGGCAGATTCCACATGGCCGAGAGCATGATTCGAGTCCCAGATCCAGTGGTGTAAGAAACACCAGGTGCAGGGGTGAGCGTGCTCAAAATCCCAAAAAGAGAAATGGAGAAGGGATTGTGGTATGGCTGTCACCCATGGGTGGTGCTTTCTCACTTTCCTTATTCCTCTTTGTATGTCCGTCTCTGGCGAGTGCTTGCACCCTCTGGCAAATTAAAGAGAAAAAAGTAAATAGAGCTTCCATACATTTACATAGCTGCATAGTTTTACACTAGTGATGTATTATGAATTTGTGTTTTCTCTGGTTATGCATTTGCATTGATTTCCAGCTTGTTAGAACAACATGGGAGGGCCAGCAGGTGGCAGGTGGCATTGGACACTCTCACGTGGCTGACCATGGTTTGAGTCCTGAACTTGGTGGCTTACTTTCTCACTTTCCCTCTCTCTCTCTATCTGTCTCTCTCTG